ACAGGCCATCGCTGACCTATGTAGATCAGGGAACCACCTAGCAAATGAATCAGCCAGATGGTGGAACTTCGTTCATGGCCTACTCTTAGCTGGGCATCCTGGGAGCCGCAAACGTCAAACTCCTACTCAGCTTGGGAGACCCTGCTGGAGGATAAACCTCCGTACTTCGCAGTTGAACACCCAGAGTTACCCCCGCGCCATGATGTAGACCAGACATAAATATCAAAATTGCTGATTACCAAGGCTATAACCACTTCACACGACAGAATATATTGCAGGATTGTGATAGCTACACGATGGAAGAGCTAAAATCGTAGATTTGCCCAAAAAGTGGTCTTCTCAGGTTGAAGTTGTGATCATGGAAATCATATGCATTCTGCTCGACAAGTTCTTGCTGCAAGATTATCATATAGAGGTTGAAAGGTCGAAAATCTTTAAAGAACGCGGTGAACGATATGGTTATTGTGGCCATGACGTCATTCACTCCATTATATCACTTTTAAAGATTTCGTAACATTTTAGTTAAATAGTGCTAGCAGACTCTACACCTTTTTGCCAGAAAGGTGTCTTTCTTCCCTTTCCTTCCCTTCTCCTACGTATTCTTCCAAAACTTCAAACCACTAAATTACAATTGATGGGAAAAACCGTTCACATTATTTTGTATAGCAGAGTTCTTTTCCAAATGATATAAACATCTTAATCAAGCTTTTAAATCTTTAAAAAGGATTCTTTTGTTTGCAGGAAGTTATCCAATAAACCGATATGAGAGGCTTTGAAAGCAACTACTTACCTTTCCTAGCTTTCCTCCAAGATTTGTTTCGCCATCAAATTGAATAAAAGATGGTGAGGTGTTTGAGGGTTCAGCATGCAACCAGTGCCAGTTGGTGATCAAGCTAAAGTGTAGCATGGGAGTTGGCAAAACAAATTATGATAAATAAAAAAAACTTCTCAAACAAACGTAATGAATTTGCTATTTATGTTACGTTAATTCCATTCAAAGATGAGTTTGTTTTATTTCGAAAAAGTTGGGAATATAACTGAGCTAACCGAAAGCAATAATTATAAGCTTCAACGTAGTTTGATAGTTTCCACCTAATTACTCTGTACAATTTCCACCAGTTTTTGTGTTGAGATAATTATGTAGAAGCTTTCAGTTGCTCTAGTTTTATCAGAAATTCACGGTTCTTTAGCAGTGTGTTACCTGAAAAAATAAGTAGTTGAATGACAGTAAATGCAATCAAGCTGACTCGTAGTCTTAGGTCCTAGGTGATTTTCGTATCTTTATTCCCTTCCTCTTTCCTTCTTTATCCTTCTGTTGGCCAAGTCAGCGCGTACAAAGGTATAGCTATTTCTACTTAGCAGCGTATTTACCACAAACACGAAAAGAATGAATCAAAGACCAGCGACAAGGTCATTTCTGCCATGATATCGAAACGTTCACCTAAACGGCAGACCACCACAGTTCGCTAAGCCGGAAAGCTCGCATAGGAACGTCATGTAGGCATTGTCAGGTGCGTACCACCACGAGATATCCCAAGCCAACCTTTCAAAGTAGGCCAGGGAAGACAGGCTTGGCTTTGCATAGTAGTAACCACCTAAAAGAGCAAAAATATAGTAAAGATATCACGAAATACAAGCCATTCCTCAATTTTGTCATAATCTCTCTTTCTAAAATTTCAGACAATTTTATCACACTCCCGTTTCGATAAACCAACATTACCTTTTCCACTGCTCATGATTGGCAAAGAGAAAACCTGCGTAACGCAAAATTGTTTGCAAAACATAATAACATTACATTGCATTGTCTGATGAGTAAATGTTCTACAAAGCGTAACTCAGAGTTCATTGGTCTGGAGATTGCAAAACCAATTTTCACCTTATTTTGACCACAATGAAATATCTCATTCTTGAAATCCATCATAAGAGAAAGAGGTATAGACGGTTCTTTTCCCTACTCTAGTTTCAGTCGAAAACTGCGTGAATCGTGGCGGCATTGCTAAGTTTTTGACG